ATATTGTTGTGCAATTGTGTGCATTTCATTTCATGCACACATACCAGATACCGATACACTTACCTAATATAGGAACAAGTTATTCTTAACTATAAAACTAMAGTCGTCGTCGTCACGTTGGAGAACAGAACACGCGCGTCTGTGTGAGATAATGCGACATCAAATTATTACTATCTCGGAGCTATTACTTTTTTACAATAATTTATAATATATTTTGTTTGATATACTGTAGGTACACAATAACTACAAATGGGCATATAATTATGATTTACAACGTCGCGCGACATTTGGACGCGATGACCGTAACGGCCAGGACGACAGACGAGGCGATATATTATATATTATTTATATTGTATTATATGTATATGGATGTATAATGTGCTTAATCATACGATTATGTATATATAATCACCGTGCGATGACTGTATATTATAGTATTTATATAATTGTTTAATATCATAATGATGGTAAGATTACGGTAGGGAGAAAACATATAATGATAATAATTAGAACAAGAATAAAAATAGTATAAGCAACGATCATTGTGATAATAAATTATATAATCATATATTAAACCAATTTTTTTAATTGACATTTATACATTTATAATAATATGATTCCAGTAGGTACCATACAAAATATTGTACTTTATGATTTTATGCATTCTTAAGAATCAATAATGAAATAAATAATAAATTATTATGTGAAAATAGTAAAAGTAGTAATATTTTGAATTTTAATAATAACTATAATGATAATGTATACTAATGTACCATATTAATTGCATATTTTACGATTACAAAATATTTTCTCGTGAACTATCATGCGTTTGTTAAATTATTAGCCCAACATCATTAAAAAAAAAGTCATAACATTAAAACTAAATGTAAATCATAGGGAATTTGTCATGATCACCATATAATAATATTATAATAAATAAAATTATATAGAGAGAATCTTTAAAGCGAAAAACAATATGAAAATAATGTTTGCGCTGGAATTAAACTACACACTAACTTATCAACTAACAATAATAATAATAATATATAATATCATACACACAAGTAGTTAATAAATAAAAAAAAAAATGTTTAAAACAAAAGGCAATACAGCGATAATAAGATAAAATATACATGGGCAGCGTTGTCGATATTATTAGTTATCACCAAAAATAATTACTTCGACAGGCGACAGTTTTAAAATAATATCAAAAATGTAAGGWCGTCTAGTACATAATATAAGTATACATAGGGAGAGGCGAAATGTTTCTGACGATGAATAATTAAATATGATTCGGACGAAAATGCACACAGGCGATTGAAAAATAAAAAAATAAAAACAAGAAAGTCGCGTATTACAACAGTGATTAAAATATTATAAAGGTATAATATATATATAGGAAGGTAACCATTATTATAGCCATGCCGGGCTGTATGGCTGGCGGGCGGGGGTGGGCAACGACGACGACGACAGCCGTTGGTGCAGTGGATGGTGTATATTATAATATTATTATCTTATTGTATATTGTTTTGTTTTCCCGTCCGCCAATCTATTGTGGTGTCACGTTCGCCGCTATCAGGAACGCCGATTCCGGTCCCGGTCCGATAGTGGTGGTGCCGGAAGTGACGGCGGTGCCGTTGGCGTTGGCAACGTGGTGACCGCCCTCGCCACCTAATCCGTAGAACGCCACGATGTCCACGAGCGACGCATACGTGCCGGACACCAGTGCGATGAGCGCGATCAACACGATGGCCACATCCTTGGCCACGATCCAACGACTCATGCCCTTACGGCGGCGTCGTGTCGACCGGCCGCTGCTTCTCCTCCGCTGTGGCTGTCGCTGCACCGCCTCCAGGTCCGTGTCGTCGTCCACCGCGTAATAGTCGCCGTCAAAGTCCAAGTCGTCTTCCGAGTCGGTCGCATCGTCCGCGTCCTCACCGTCCTCGTCACCGTGGTTCCAGAACGCGACCAGATGGATGACGGCCGGACACATCAGGCCCAGTATTGAGAAGAACACTGCACCGATGAGCGAGATGAATGGCGCCAGATCAGGCACCAGGGCGGCGATAAACACTGCAAACATAATATTATATTGTAATATTAAAGTATTAGTTAATGACTGTATTATAATATTATTATGTGTTGGAAAAACGTATATTTTGCWGCAAAATGCAGAATGTAAAACTGCAGTTGCAATAGACCGCTGCAGGTTTACGAATTATAACGTCGTTAGTTGTAAGTGTTTAATAATTAATATTCGATCAAAATTACGCAAGTAAATACTAATATCAGAAATACGATTTTTCGTTAGTAACAAATTAAAATTGTTATTKAATAATTTTTTAATTTTTAATTTTGTAATATTATATTTTTTTTGGACTCCAGGATTATGGCGATAACCTTTATATATTAATTGTCATATCGAACGATATACAGCCAAATAGTTTTAGAATAATATATTAATATGGTAATATTATTATTATCAGGTGGTGTATCTTTGGTGTTTGTCAAACGGTCGTTCAAAATTTCAAATATAATCTCCATCATAATAAATCGGACGATTTGTCCGGAATCACAGAAAAACACATTTAATATACCTAGGTACATACATTACAATAAGAATAACAGGGACGATATATATATATATATACCATTAGTTATAGTAACCAATTCGTAACCACAAATTTCGAATTCGTAACTATCTTACCGGTTCCCAGGATCATGGTGGCTCTCATCACATAGTACGCTCCTTCCATGGGTTTCTCCTGTAAGTTAGACTCGAGTTCGAGCTGCTTTTTCTCATCCACGGATGTAATGGTGGCCGTAGTGACCGTGGTGGCCGTAGACATGGTGCTACCGGCGATGGTGTTCACGACCGCACCGCAGGACGTCGATGTCTTGGTGTCCGCAGAATACTTGTCGTTTTGACGACGCTTGCGCAACCATGGCTCCAGGCGGGTCCACACAATCTCGCTGGGCACGCAGAACTGCAGACCGTAAGAGAAAAGTATGGACAGCGCCACCATGATTTTCACCGACTCGGCGAACCTGCAGCACAATACGTCCGTTGTTGAGTGGACAATTTTATAAGTTATATAGGCTCGCCCTACGCCCTACRTCACTGTATTATAGCCCCTACCATGTTTGATATTTATATTATATAACGTATAAAAATGTGAACGTGACTACTCAAATAAATTTCACTAAACACACGTTATTTGGACATGTGGTGAAAAAAACTATAAAGATCCTCTGTCGTACAGAAACTTTTCTGAACAATAAAGAAACTAACATCTAAACGGAAGTGAAAAGAGATGCAATCATGTTGCGATTAACAATGACGGTATCAGTGATGTTCGACAACAAATTTGAATGGATACAATTCCTAGACCTTATTCAAGGTTTTTCTAAAAAAAGTTGTGTAAATCCTAGAATATACAGACACTGTCCTAAAGGATGTTAAATCTAATAAATAAACGGTAGAAAATAATAATATACTTTTTGAAAAATCTTGAATTTTTATTCAAATTAAAATTCACAAAATCAATACTAATAATATTATAGTTGTAGGTACCTATATTAAATTCAACCATGCATCTTTTGTTTACATTTCTTTAATTTCTATTTTATTTTTGTGTCAGCTTTTACTGACATAATTTACCTATTTATCCAAGGATGTAGGTACACGTTTTTAATAAAAGTCCGAAATTATAACCTAACCTAATTTTTATTGAGTGCAATTAGTAATTCTTAGCATTAATTATTAAAGGTTATGAATACATATGGGTAAAATATCTATAGGTAGTAATGTAATATACATCTGGTAACGTATATTATATACGAGAATCTGGCTGAAAATTATGTATTAACCAAATGCAACAGTAAAACGGACGCAAGAAAAGAAATTAAAATCCTATGAGAGTTCTTAAAAGCATAAAAGCATTTAAAAAAAATACTAATTGAGCTCTCAAAAAYGATTTTTATTTTCAAGACACGATAATGATGGCTAAGTTTTGTTTTTAGTATTGTATATATTGAAAAATACCGTTAAGAAGTTACAATTGTCTCTGGTTATATAATATACGTCTAAAATCTACGAATTTTTACATCAAGTTGGCAAAAATTATATATCTATTGTGACGAGTGACTAAATAAAAGTAAAAGAATAGGTAGCATTAAAGTTAATTTTGCAGCATAAATATTTCTTTCTGAAACATAATTTAGTTTTCATAATATTGATATTTATATACAGCATTGGCGCTCATACTATTTACTATCTTTCAAGCCATATAAGCACGATCGATTGTACTTAATAATTGTTGCATATTAATATATGGATTAGCAATGTTGCATATTTTTAACGTTTTATTTATTTAAGCACTGCAATTGCATTTATACGTACAGATCGTTGGGCAGATTGAGCGTGATCGATCCGTCAGTGGCGTCACCGAAACGCAAATATCCAAGGAATCCGGCGACCGAGTACAAGCACACGACTAGCACCATGGCGGCGTTCAAAACTCCGCAAGGACGAGCATTGAGGAACCGTTGCGGATGGCGCATTGAATTCTCGATCGGGAGTACCTGCAAAAGTCATGCTGTGTGTAGACTATTTACAAAATTATATTATTATGGTTTTACGCGACGACAGAATGCATTTCTATTAATGATAAAAATATAATCAATATAGTTGATTTCAAATCGAAACGTGAATTTTAGTTCACATCATTAAAATACTATGTAGGTAACCGTGAAAGTATTTTTATATATCAACTAGGTATAAAAATATATTAAATCAGAATATTTTGGTTTTTATTTCAGCACGAGTTCTATATGTGCTATACTCACCAAGAAACGCATCAGAATTTCCCTCTACAGAAAGTTAATATAAAGTTGTTTTACAATAATATGACACTATATATATAGTCATATTATTTCTATTATATATTTAATTGGTTTCTATATAAGTGGATAGTATGATAGGTAGTAACACTATGTGTATACTAGAACCGTAGTAGATGTAGGTACTCACGGTGCCGATGCCCTCCATGGCGAACAGGACGGTGGCGAAGAACAGGGGCATGTGGCCTACGGGGGCGATCCACGGGCGGGATCCGATTTCCGGCAGTGGTACGGCCGCCGTCAGGGCACTCTCGTCGGCAAACAGACTGACGCCGGTCACAACCCACGACATGGTACATCCCAAGCCGACCATTATGAACGCGGTGGCTATGGCCGAGAACGGGACAAGCAGACGGAGCGAGCGAACGATGCCGAGAGGCACCAGCGGGATGGCCAGGCCGAGGATCCAGGCGCGGATAGACATGTGCCATTCCAGTGGAGTGTGCGTGTCGGCCACCTGTRCGTGAACGATAAACCACATGGTGAACATTACATTTTTTTTTTTGCACGACATTGTGTGTACAGAGTGTATCGCGTAAAAAAAGTTATCGGTATAAACTCATATACGTATATGCCATAGGCGTATCCAGATCTCATTCGCTGCAGTTCATGCACATCATTGGCAT